GTATAAACATTTGATTAAATATATTCAAGATATATGTTTCGTATTGAAAGCCAATAAGTTTATCAAGATAACAGCGGAACTTTAATAATAGGAAAAGTTAAAGGTGCTCCACTTATTTTTATTTACATGGTTATTGTTATTCAACTTTTGGAGATGATCTTTCACTTCTCTACGCTAATTTACAATAGTTAATTTAGTAACGGTCTTTTATACAAAGTGATGTTTTACGGTGCCTGGCGACGGAAGAACCCAGTGTTTCGTGGGTATTTTTTATCTATCTATATTCGAAATGATTTTTTTTTATTAACCTATCCTGGTATGTACGTAATTCTGTTAACCATAAACTCTATATTTGTATAAATATGAGTAACATAGGCTTGAAAAAGAGCTTATGACATATGCTATTAGGGAGGGGCATTTGCTGTTTGGCTATCTTCTCAAAATTGTACGTATTATTCAAATTAACCTTTAGTCTGTTAACATGTGGGAACTTTGATGCTACTAGGGACCATCTTCTTATCAATGTATTGTAAATCAAAAGTCTGGTACACGAAGTCATATGTTGTGGATGCTAACTGAGGCATCTAAACAATAATAATAACAATAAATCAATAGTGCATCCATATGTTCACGTTCTGCAGCTACACAGCTAAAACAAAGTGTTATTTTCCCATATTAAGTTAATGTAGACTCACTGAAAAACTGTACACAATTATGGCAAGTTCCACCATGAGAAATGGCTTATTTTTGCAGAACAGGAAGAATGTTTAAAAGACAAAAACTCTAGCTTTAAAAAAAAACAAGAAAAAAACTGAAATCATTGATTGTAAGAAGATGGTCAGGGAATATTGACAATTAATTGCAAAGTTTTGCTTTCTACAATTGGACACTATATCAAATTTAGGTTGATAGTATATTTAAAAAGAAGGATCTCGTACAGAACTGGCATTCAGAAAAGGTATTGATTTCGATTTTTGTTTTTGTGTGGTAGCATTTAGCAGAATTCTTTCGGTGACAGCTGTGGTCTCCAAATACCGTCATGTAAGTGACATGAACGTCAGTACAGCAGCAGCAATAGAAATGATTGAGGAGAGCAGATCTGAATTAGAGGCTCTAATATCAGATGAAATGTTTTAGGAGTTGTGAATTGAAACTGGACAGCTTGCTTCAAAAATGCAAATACAGTTTCAAGAGGAACGGATAGCAAGAAATGTGCCCAAAAGACCGGATAACCTGGAGCAAAATGAAACTGTACTTACTTAACAAGATGCAATTTGTTTCAGAATCCATTTTGCATTGCAAGCATCACTGACAGTTTTAGCACTGAAGCATTGACACTGCTACAACACATTTATAGCTTAACACATTCAGTTGAAAAAAATCGGAAAAATACGACTATATAGGAGATATCAATCCAAAGATGATAGAGGAGGAATACAAGCTTTCTAATTCACAGACTTGAGAAAGAGTCGCACCCAACAACTATACTAAAATACATCCATCTGTTTCTGATCATTAAACTACACGTAAATTTAAAATGTCAATGGTGAATGAAACTACACGTAAATTTAAAATGTCAATAGTAAATGAAACTACACTAAGTTTAAAATGTCAACACATGCCTTGCAAATGTATTAAAAATAATTAAATACCCATCACTAATAACAAAAATGCTTAGTTTTCTGACTGAGTCCACTCTATCTCCCCCCCCCAAAAAAAACTTAGCTGTATAAAAATCCTGACCACATCATACGTGAATAACTTAGCAAATACTTCCCATGAGACAACTTTCATAACCTATATACATGGAATATACAGTAAGTTTGAATAATTCTTACGTATATTATAAAGTATTATTTTAAACTGTTTCAGCATAAAACTACTCAATCGATTATCTACAGTGTGACAGTCGCAGGGATCGACCCCTGAATTTTAGCATTTTCAGCTCTCACGCTTACCGTTGAGTCACCGTAGGACAATATATGGGATGTAATGTAATTTAATTCTAAGAATACATTATAGAGCCAACGATAGGTCAGACAGAGGCGTATTAGGAAAAGTTCTTTTTTCCCAGATAAGGGTTAACATTCGAACTAATTCAGTAAGACAATGCGTGAACTTAATATCGTGTCGTTAAGTAAAGGTGCTCAAGTAGATTTCCCACATAGATAACACGCTTAAAGTGAACGATGCGACTTTAGATATCTAAGATAAAGTTCCCTCTTGTCCTGAAGAAAAGAATAAAAGATGCACAGCACATGTGAAACTTAAGTAACAATGCAAATAACGTTAATAAATGGATTACCGCCTTAGGAAATTGTTTTTAGAAATAGTTTTAAAAAGCTCGTTTTTTTATATATGTATATATTTTGGTTTTGAAATAAAACAAGACGAAATTTGCTTACACAGTGCTACAAGAAGCGGAAATGCTTAGCTTTCCTGAAACAGGCTTCAAACCAAGGGACCTGTGCTCACAGAAGAGTGTATTTACATAACAGTCAGTAACTCAGCTAAAATTTGTTGTTACTTAATCAAAATCTAATGCTACGTATTAGAATTTCGAATAGTCCGAAGCCGAGTTAACTGATAATTTAAATTTAGTAGTTAAATTGTACTTTGGATTTAGTATTTAAATATATGCCGATATATTAGTCAATTTACGATATTTGACAACAAGATTGATACACACCGTTTTTGTTTTTAACACAAATACGTTTTAATATACACCCAATACAATTTACAGTAACAATTATTACAAATAGTTATTACAAACAATGATTTATAAACAGAAGTTCCACAAACTTACAAACAATATAAAAACTTCTTTCTAGTTTGGAACTCCCTTGATATCTTATCGAGGGTACGATGAGCGAGTTAATTACGAGTTGATGTAGATACGATCCGCTGGGAAGCTAGCTAGCTTTGTCCTTAGCCACACACACTAGGTTTTCCACGGTTGAAGTCAGGTAATGTTTCCGTAAAAATATTAATGTCCGATGAGAATCCACTGAAGTTAGACGATTTGTAATGTTCCAAATTTATAAATATTCCTGGTCAAATATCTTAAGTTTTCCTATTAATAAGCATTATAACAA